GTCGTTGTCGTTTCTCGGGTGGCGGGTGAGAGGTCTTGTGTTCCCCTTTATTTCCCGTCGCTGATTTCTTAGTAATTATTTATTTATTATTATTTTTTTTTAAATTCACTGCACGGTGTCGCGCGAGTATTTTTAATACTTTTGAATTGCAAATTACTTTTTGTTATTCGCAAGGTACCGAGTATCGCGGGATCGGTTACGTTGAGCGCCAGTTATTTTGGTTTGGTTTTTGGTATTTAATTAATCCCTATTTCTCCTAAACCTGTTAAGGCAGAGGATAATAAAGACACGGTGCGATATTAAGTTTATTATTTATTACTCCTAAACCTGTTAAGGTAGAGGATAAACAAGACTTGATTTCTTCTTAACGCCATTTTGGTCTGTGCCTTTTTTGTCTACAACCCAGGTAGGGTTGTTATATGGGGACTTGGATGGCCTTATTACGCGGTCCGCAAGAAGTTGTTTAACCTCTGCATTGACGAATTTGGTTACACCCATGGGATGCGGGTACGACTTGAAGTACACCGGCTCCCCGTCAGTTTTAGTCGTGGCGATCGTGTATATTAAACGGCAATGCTTCGTCTGGGTCGGCGAAGGCCCAATGATTTTTTACAATCATTTTGTCAAAGGTATATTTAATTGCCAGGGGAACATCCTCATCATCGATTTTTATAAAGTTAACGTTTTCTGCTTTAGTAAACTGGATCTTTTCAGTTCCATTGTTTGTAAGCAGGATATTGCCAGTAAAATCGAGTTTCGCATTCACTTGTTTAAGCAAGTCGAGCCCGATAATACCGTCAAAGTCTTTAAGGTTATTTAATATAAAAAAGGGTGTTTAACGTTAAAAACTGAAACTAGACATTTTTTGTCTATTTTGGTGAAGCCATGTATTGATTTCACTGTGAAAGGTTTCTCCGCCGCCACGATGCTTTTTAGCCCCGGGAGTGCAGTGATATAATTTTTGGAAGTGCCTGTATCTAGTAGTAATTTTATTTCACTTCCTGCTACCTTACGCGTAATGTAGGGGAGCAGGGACTTTACCGTAAAAAATTACAGGAGTCCTCTGCGTCTAACTCGTCTTCCATCTCAGTAGCGCAGGCCTGGGCAATGGAGTCATAATCTTCGTCGTCGGGTTTTTCCTCCGGCATGAAGTTTATTTTTTGATGAAACCGTGCCGACTGCCCTTTTGCCATGTTGTGGGCTGCCTAAATCTGGAGGAGGTATCAACCTCCATTGGCTCTGGTGTTGGCTGGCCCTGATTATTCCCTGTGCTATTATATGGCTTCTGACGGAAAGAACCATTTTGGTTGTTGGCTCCTTTCTGGGTCCTAACGAAGTGGGGGTTTTTTTTATTGCCCCTTGATTTTGGTTCTGCTCATAATTTTTCCAACCTGCTTGTCGCTGGTTGCTCGGCTTAAATGATTTTTCTTCACTGTGTCGGGCGAAGGTAGCCGCAAATATGCTCCTTTCGTTACTTGATTCAGCCTCTTGCGCTAACGCTAATGCTTACGGCAAGTCCCGTGGCTGTGCCGGAAAAACGGCTATTTTCAGTGATTTTTTTAAGGCAGAGGATACTAAAGACACGGTGCGATATTAAGTTTATTATTTATTACTCCTAAACCTGTTAAGGTAGAGGATAAACAAGACTTGATTTACAAAACACAGCTAAGGCTGCGGAGTACAAATTTAGACTAACTTAAGGTCCCGGGTCCGGCCGCGGCTCGAGGCTTTTGCCTGGTCGCAGCGCTGCCGCTAAAGTGCCGGGTCAGCACTTGGTATCCGGCCGGTGGCGATCATCCGCTGAGTAAGTGTTCCCAGCGCCAGAAGTAAAGCGCCAGGTCAGCAGCAGATATCCGGCCGGTGGCGATCACTTGCTCCGCGAGTGCTCTGACCGGGCTCCGGGCAACTGCCCTCGGAGTGCAGAGTCGGCGGTTTCTTTACTGCGCGTGTTGGGCACCGGATATGGCCTGCAGCTTGACAATTTGTCTTTCTGGAAACTGGGTGTGTTAACTTGTATAACCCAGCTAAGTTCGCTATGATTTTGTTATACCCTTGCAGAGGGTATTATAATTTTGGTCAAAAGTGTGCAACGCAGTGAAGGAGACATCTCCGACCCTATAAAGTATATATATTCTTGATCAGGATCACCTCCTGAGTTGATATAGCCATGTCCGTCTGTCCGTCTGTCTGTCCGTCTGTCTGTCCGTCTGTCTGTCCGTCTGTCTGTTTCTACGCGAACTAGTCTCTCAGTTTTAAAGATATCGAATTGAAACTTTGCACACACCCTTCATTCCTTTGCACGCAGTATATAAGTCGGAACGGCCGGGATCGGCCGACTATATCCTATAGCTGCCATATAACTGATTGATCGGAAATGCCATAACTCTGCTGTTTGTTAAGTTAGGAAGTTGGGACTTTCTATGGGTTTTATATTTGGCCAATCAATCCGACGTACCAAATTTCATAAGGATCGGCCGACTATATCCTATAGCTGCTATATAACTGATTGATCGGAAATGCCATAACTTTGGTGTTTGTGAAGTTAGGAAGTTGGGATTTCTTATGAGTATTAAGAATGCATCATATGAATAATTTTGGAGAATATAATTTACAGAATATTCTGCAAGGGTATTTCAACTTCGGCTCCGCCCGAAATTAGCTTTCTCTTCTTGTTTTTAGTTTCATATTATACATATTATGGAGTGGTACATGTTTTTATACTAGGCAGGGCTAAAAATAAAAAATATTAATTCATACTGGTACTTGCATCTACATAAATATAATTTTTTGAAAAAGACATTTTGATTTTTTTAACACCGTCATATATTCCAATCCCAAAATATTAACATAAATTTTCATAAATGTGGAGTCCAGTCAAATATTATTTTTGATATTAAGCGGCCAATAAGCCAATAAAACATTTGTTATTAGTCTTATTATTATTAATGGTCTAAGGTTTAATGGCTTAAACAAAATTTTAATTGGTTGAACTCTGAAAAATCATGCGTTTAAGGGTCAAAACCGCAGCTCATTTCTGAAACATAGAAGGAATCGCATAAAAGTTAGTTTACTTTTACCTTGCTTAAAGTTTATAAGATACAGCCAGTGCTGATATTGCTACGATCGTTAATAGAAGTATGGAGCAAGGCATTCTTAAAATACTATGAACCAAACGCTACAGAGAGCCGGAGCAATATTGAAAACTATAATTTTTAAAAAACCAGAGCATTTTATATATTGAAAACGGCTCTAATCTCGACTTCAGATCCATATATGATATGAGTAGTTACTTTGGCAACTATGGTAATTTTTCTTTTCCATTTTTACTTGTGAAGTGTTGTTGACATATAGCATAGCATAGGGTGTTGGCGGGCCTGGATCGCAATGCCATCGAGTGTTTCGTATATGACCATCAGGCGACTCACAAAAAGCAATTTTACGGAATTAATTCGCAATTCGTTTCACGGCTCTTTTACCACTAGATATTACCGCTTATATCCAAACAATTTAAAAATTCTTTTGCCAGGAAAGTATCAGCGTTTAAGATAAGTATTCCTTCTGCGCATTTCACATGTTTGTCGTCCACCAGTTTCTGGCCGAAGGCATATTTGTAAAAAAAATAATAATAAAGCTAAGAAAAATGTCCCATTAAAGGTATTGAACTCCACTTTAACCACACAATTTACAGGCGTAATCGTCAGCCAAGACGGGGAGGTGGCGTCTTGATTGCTGTTGACCCTAACCTCTTGACGGAAATACTAACTTTTGAATAATTTTATGACATCGAATTTCCGATTATAAAATTGTAGTTTCCCGTTAGTTTTATATATAACATATTACTTGTTAAAATATTTCACCATCATCTGAGTTCCAATTTATCCGAATCACCTGTCCGTTATCCTCAGACGAAAACTTGAGTATATCCAAAGGGATATCATCCATCTTTAAAACATACTGTTAAAGGAGGAACAGGTTAAATAAAAAATTAGAACATTTTTAAAACAGTTTTATAATTTTCTCAACACTAAGCTTATATTCACCTCTTACCCTGCATGGCTTTTATTTGAAAATTCTGTTGCAAACAATGATCAACATATTCAGCTTCATTCAAATCAGTCTTATTTTTCTCCAAGTCAAACTTATTTTCTTGTCCTAGTTCAAGCAAAAGCTTCCTTCTTTTGGATCTTGAAAGGGTTAAATTAGTTTATTCACTGAGACCTGTCGGAGTTCCAGGCTGCGTAATTAGATACTGCCTTGAAATCCTGTGTAGATCTCTACACAAATTGTTTACCTTATCTGTGAAAACTTTACTCTTCCTACTTTCTTGGAAGAAGTCATTTGTTATTACCCTTTATAAAAAGGAAAAAAAAGAGTACAAGCAATTGCAGAGGTATATCCAAGTTGTCCTCTATCGCAAGACTGTTTGAAAACAGTATTACACCCCACTTGCCACATCTTTGTAGATTAATTATATCTCCATGTCAACATGGATCGTCTTGGATTTAACGTCTTATGTAATAAATGACTTCAGAAATAAAGGCGTAGGCTATACTTGACTTCAGAAATAAAGGCGTAGGCTATACTTGTTTTAACTCGGTCTGAGGAACTTGTGAGATGGTTCTGAAGCCGCCTAGCTGGGGCGACCGAGCGGGTCGCAGGTTGCGGATAGCGGACGACCTCACTCGAGGCCAACTGCGAATAAGCTGGCGGTGGAAGTCAAACACGGAATCGTGGACGGAAACCCCAGCAAATAAGCAGTCCCGGACAACCAGCGGGTATCTTGCAACGAGGCAGTACCGACGATGCGATTTGTTCAGCCGCATCTAAACAGTTGCTTTACACAAACCCAATATCTCCCACACACCACCTACCCACTTCCTCTCCCAAACAACATCTCACTCCGGGCCGGACTACGGTGTAATTCGGACCGCTCCAAGAGTCAGCCTGGCTGGGGGCCCGGATCAACAACTAGCTCAGTCTCAAACGGTGGGCTCAGGGAGATGGCGACCCCCTGTTCTATCTACCGCCTTACCCGGGTACCGCGGATCTCTGCCCGGGCGGACCTTTCTCCTTCTCCGCAGCTCGTGGGACCAATTATGGAAACAATAAATAAAAATACAAATAAGAAAACGGAGACGGGAACTCCACAAAAACCCGGCGCTGCAAAGATGAACGATGGTTCCACTGCAAGCACCAGTACTGCACAGAAAGGGCCCCATCCCAAACTAGGGATGTCGGGGGACAGAAAGACTGTCGCTAACGCCTCCGCTATGTGCGCATCTGCGCCAAAACCAGCGGTAGGCGCAGCAAAGTCGATCGGGTCACCCGCTGGTGTAAAGAAGTTCACATACGCAGAGAGACGGACTGCCGCCCAAACCCTGCGCTCGCATGCCAGAAGCAATGTCGCCATGCCTTCGCCCGAATGGCTAAAGAAGGTAGAGTGGGCATGGACGGTGTTTCCTAACTATGGGCAAGAGAAGCCCCAGCAAGAAGGTGCTCAGGCGAAGAGGCAACGCTCCATAGAGCTGCCCGGTCCGTCGGCGAAGAGATCGAAGATCCAGCCGTCGGTCTCCTTTGCCGAGATTACCAAAGATCGGGTCCTACTTGGACTTATAGGCAGGGGAAATCCGGAGAACAGGATCCCCAGAAATAAATGGAAGGCGGTTGAGTCCAAGCTGTCTCTTATTTGCCTGCGTATGGTACGCGAGAAGCCCGGTTCATCGCCTTGCTGTATGGACGCGGGCTGGTACCAGGGCAGTGTAAAAGTGGTGGCCTGCGATAATCAGCGATCAGCTGACCTATACAAACAGGCGGTAGTACAGCTCGGAGCAGTTTACGAAGGGGCGAACATAGTCGCACTAGATTGGTGTGACGTCCCCAGTAGACCATTGGCTCCCAGCAGCAATCGTATCACCGGAGGACATCCTTTATATGTTGCAAGAATGCAACCCACATCTCCCCAAAAAAGACTGGAAAGTCGTTAAGGTGGAGGAGCACGCAGGTGACGTGAACCAAGCGATCGTTATGCTGAATAAGGAGTCGGTCGCTCCCATAGAGGCTGCTCGGGAAACGCTCAACTATGGTTTCAGTGCCATACATATAAAGATTTACAAAGGGGACTCTAATTCCTCGGGAAGTCCTGCCGGCAACCCAGCTGAGCAGGTGCTTGCGGAGGAAGTGGAGGCCCCTGGTGTGCCGGAGGACGGCTACTCAACCGACACGTCGCTGAGCAGAGAGATGCGAGCGCTGGGACCGGCAATCGATGAAGTGGACCTGAGCGATTCGGAGGCCGACGTTACTGTGGTGGAGGTTGCAGCTGGGGATGTCGCTAAGACTCCTGCAGATCAACCTACATCACAGTAAAGCAGCGTCCACAGCTCTTTTGCTTCACCTGGCCAAAGGCGAAGCCGACGTGGTCTTAGTTCAGGAACCCTGGGTAGCAGGAGGCAGGGTTGCTGGACTAGGAACAAAAGATTACAAGCTTATGCTTGACCCCAAACTAGGTAAAATTCGAACCTGCATTATAGCCAAACGGCATTTTAGTACATTTCTGCTTCGCAATTACAGCAACGGAGACAACACAGCAATAAGCCTGGAGCTGCAAAGCGGCTCTATTAGGATGCTATCGGCCTACATGGCTTTTGAAAAGGTAGACCCCCCAGACGCGCTAGTCAGAGGACTGGTACAGGAATGTGAAGTGCTTAAGCAAGGTTTGGTGATAGGATGCGATGCAAATGCCCACCATACTCAGTGGGGCTGCCCTATCAACAACGACAGAGGTGAGTCTTTATTTGATTTCATTCTAAATTCGAACTTATTTCTTTGTAACAGGGGCAATAGCCCTACTTTTATAACAAAAACGTGCCAAACGATCATAGATCTAACCCTGGCATCAGATTCACTCATAAGCACAGTCACAAACTGGGCTGTCTCCGACGAGCACTCATTTTCAGATCACAGGTTTATAGAGACATCTTTGTCCCTAGTGTCACCTGCGCCGGTCAGCTTTGCCAACCCCAGGCGGGCAAACTGGAATAAATACAAAGAAATTCTATCGAGCTTCCTCCCCAGGGAGCCACCAGAAAGCACTCTTTGCACTCAGGAGCTAGATAATATAGTAAACAAATTCACAGAAGCATGCAACGCGGCATTCACAGCTGCATGCCCGTTAGGGAAACCAAGAGGAAAGAAAAAACCTCCTTGGTGGACCCAGCAATTCTCAATCCTCAGAGCCAAATGCAGAAACCTGTTCAACACAGCGAAAGCTACAAATAAGGACATAAACTGGCAAAGCTACAAAAAGGAACTAGCCACATACAAAAAGGCCATCAGAAAAGAGAAGAGGACTGCGTGGCAGAACTTCTGCTCGGATATTGAAAAGACAACTGATGCCGCAAGGCTCAGAAAAATACTTTCTAAGACAGCCGTATCCTTGGGCTATCTCCAAAAGGCTGACGGATCATGGTCGGACTCTAGTGAAGAATCCCTAAACCTACTCCTAGACGCTCACTTCCCAGGGAGCCTGCAAACAGGACATCCCCCAGGAAGACACACTGGAGAAGGAATAAACTTAAATCTCCTACTATCAGACCGTAATATAAACTGGTCCATTCAGAGTTTTAAACCATACAAATCGCCGGGACCGGACAAAATAACACCGGCACATATTCAGCAAGCATGAGAGCTAGCTATAAACTGCCTGAGAAAAATCTTCCAGACCATTCTTGCAGTAGGAGAACTACCTACAGCATGGCGGGAAACGAAAGTCGTTTTCATCTCTAAGGCAGGGAAGGCCACCCATACTACAGCGAAGGATTTCAGACCGATAAGTCTGACATCATTCCTGCTAAAAATCCTAGAAAGACTGATAGGTCTACACATTAGAGACATCATTGACCCGACGCAGATATCGGAGGCGCAACACGCATACAACAAAGGTAAGTCGACCGAATCGGCGCTACACTTGGTAGTAAGCAACATCGAGAAATCACTCAGTATACAAGAATACACCTTGATCGCCTTCCTTGACATAGAAGGAGCTTTCAACAACGTGCTTCCCCCGGCAATAACAGAATCCCTCACTGAACTAGGGGGTTGAGCCACCGCTGGTGGGGCTGATCCACAAATTGCTGATAAGCAGACTGGTCACGGCCACACTAGGGACCTCGACCCAGACTAGATTAGTGAACAGAGGCACTCCGCAAGGAGGTGTACTATCACCCCTCTTATGGAATATCGCGGTAAATAAACTACTGCGGATTCTTGAAGGAGGAGGCTGTAAAATAGTGGCATACGCAGACGATGTCGCTATCATCTTTAATGGTAAGTATCCACAAACGTTATGCGATCTTATGGCCGCAAAACTAAAAACACTATCGGAATGGACTACAAAGAACGGACTTGGGGTAAATCCCTCAAAAACGGAACTAGTCCTTTTTACAAATAGATACAAAATCCCAAAACTTAACCCACCCACTTTAAACAACTGTAATCTCTCTTTTAGCGAGCACGCAAAATACTTGGGGTTAGTATTAGATAAGCTTCTTAAATGGGGCTTAAACAACTAAGAGAGGACCAAGAAAGCGACCATTGCACTTTACTCTTGTAAAAAAGCAATCGGGCTAAGATGGGGTATGTCCCCTAAAAACGTCAATTGGATATACACAGCGGTAGTCAAGCCAATCCTACTATATGGAGTGGCTCTGTGGTGGACCGCTTTACACAAACAATGTATCTTAACTCCCCTTAACAAAGTACAGCGCATGGCGACCTTGTGTACTAGTGGAACCCTTCGAACTACCCCAAACGAAGCGCTGAATGCGATCTTGAACCTCCAGAGCCTGGACTTAGCAGGCATGGAACGGGCGAAATCGGCAGCCATTCGACTAAGGGATACGGGGCAATGGAAAGCCCAACTGTATGGTCACGCTAAGATTCTTCAGCATGACAAATTGATCCCGCCAAAAACGGATCTATGTAAAACCCGTGAATACAGTCACACGCCCTTCGAAGCTCTGATCCCAGGCAGGGAAGTATGGGATCGGGGCCGACCGGGCTCTATAGACGCAATCTGTTTATTGAAAAGACAACTGATGCCGCAAGGCTCAGAAAAATACTTTCTAAGACAGCCGTATCCTTGGGCTATCTCCAAAAGGCTGACGGATCATGGTCGGACTCTAGTGAAGAATCCCTAAACCTACTCCTAGACGCTCACTTCCCAGGGAGCCTGCAAACAGGACATCCCCCAGGAAGACACACTGGAGAAGGAATAAACTTAAATCTCCTACTATCAGACCGTAATATAAACTGGTCCATTCAGAGTTTTAAACCATACAAATCGCCGGGACCGGACAAAATAACACCGGCACATATTCAGCAAGCATGAGAGCTAGCTATAAACTGCCTGAGAAAAATCTTCCAGACCATTCTTGCAGTAGGAGAACTACCTACAGCATGGCGGGAAACGAAAGTCGTTTTCATCCCTAAGGCAGGGAAGGCCACCCATACTACAGCGAAGGATTTCAGACCGATAAGTCTGACATCATTCCTGCTAAAAATCCTAGAAAGACTGATAGGTCTACACATTAGAGACATCATTGACCCGACGCAGATATCAGAGGCGCAACACGCATACACCAAAGGTAAGTCGACCGAATCGGCGCTACACTTGGTAGTAAGCAACATCGAGAAATCACTCAGTATACAAGAATACACCTTGATCGCCTTCCTTGACATAGAAGGAGCTTTCAACAACGTGCTTCCCACGGCAATAACAGAATCTTTCACTGAACTAGGGGTTGAGCCACCGCTGGTGGGGCTGATCCACAAATTGCTGATAAGCAGACTGGTCACGGCCACACTAGGGACCTCGACCCAGACTAGATTAGTGAACAGAGGCACTCCGCAAGGAGGTGTACTAACACCCCTCTTATGGAATATCGCGGTAAATAAACTACTGCGGATTCTTGAAGGAGGAGGCTGTAAAATAGTGGCATACGCAGACGATGTCGCTATCATCTTTAATGGTAAGTATCCACAAACGTTATGCGATCTTATCACCGCAAAACTAAAAACACTATCGGAATGGACTACAAAGAACGGACTTGGGGTAAATCCCTCAAAAACGGAACTAGTCCTTTTTACAAATAGATACAAAATCCCAAAACTTAACCCACCCACTTTAAACAACTGTAATCTCTCTTTTAGCGAGCACGCAAAATACTTGGGGTTAGTATTAGATAAGCGTCTTAAATGGGGCTTAAACAACCAAGAGAGGACCAAGAAAGCGACCTTTGCACTTTACTCTTGTAAAAAAGCAATCGGGCTAAGATGGGGTATGTCCCCTAAAAACGTCAATTGGATATACACAGCGGTAGTCAAGCCAATCCTACTATATGGAGTGGCTCTGTGGTGGACCGCTTTACACAAACAATGTATCTTAACTCCCCTTAACAAAGTACAGCGCATGGCGACCTTGTGTACTAGTGGAACCCTTCGAACTACCCCAAACGAAGCGCTGAATGCGATCTTGAACCTCCAGAGCCTGGACTTAGCAGGCATGGAACGGGTGAAATCGGCAGCCATTCGACTAAGGGATACGGGGCAATGGAAAGCCCAACTGTATGGTCACGCTAAGATTCTTCAGCATGACAAATTGATCCCGCCAAAAACGGATCTATGTAAAACCCGTGAATACAGTCACACGCCCTTCGAAGCTCTGATCCCAGGCAGGGAAGTATGGGATCGGGGCCGACCGGGCTCTATAGACGCAATCTGTTTATTGAAAAGACAACTGATGCCGCAAGGCTCAGAAAAATACTTTCTAAGACAGCCGTATCCTTGGGCTATCTCCAAAAGGCTGACGGATCATGGTCGGACTCTAGTGAAGAATCCCTAAACCTACTCCTAGACGCTCACTTCCCAGGGAGCCTGCAAACAGGACATCCCCCAGGAAGACACACTGGAGAAGAAATAAACTTAAATCTCCTACTATCAGACCGTAATATAAACTGGTCCATTCAGAGTTTTAAACCATACAAATCGCCGGGACCGGACAAAATAACACCGGCACATATTCAGCAAGCATGAGAGCTAGCTATAAACTGCCTGAGAAAAATCTTCCAGACCATTCTTGCAGTAGGAGAACTACCTACAGCATGGCGGGAAACGAAAGTCGTTTTCATCCCTAAGGCAGGGAAGGCCACCCATACTACAGCGAAGGATTTCAGACCGATAAGTCTGACATCATTCCTGCTAAAAATCCTAGAAAGACTGATAGGTCTACACATTAGAGACATCATTGACCCGACGCAGATATCAGAGGCGCAACACGCATACACCAAAGGTAAGTCGACCGAATCGGCGTTACACTTGGTAGTAAGCAACATCGAGAAATCACTCAGTATACAAGAATACACCTTGATCGCCTTCCTTGACATAGAAGGAGCTTTCAACAACGTGCTTCCCACGGCAATAACAGAATCCCTCACTGAACTAGGGGTTGAGCCACCGCTGGTGGGGCTGATCCACAAATTGCTGATAAGCAGACTGGTCACGGCCACACTAGGGACCTCGACCCAGACTAGATTAGTGAACAGAGGCACTCCGCAAGGAGGTGTACTATCACCCCTCTTATGGAATATCGCGGTAAATAAACTACTGCGGATTCTTGAAGGAGGAGGCTGTAAAATAGTGGCATACGCAAACGATGTCGCTATCATCTGCAATGGTAAGTATCCACAATCGTTATGCGATCTTATGACCGCAAAACTAAAAACACTATCGGAATGGTCTACAAAGAACGGACTTGGAGTAAATCCCTCAAAAACGGAACTAGTCCTTTTTACAAATAGATACAAAATCCCAAAACTTAACCCACCCACTTTAAACAACTGTAATCTCTCTTTTAGCGAGCACGCAAAATACTTGGGGTTAGTATTAGATAAGCGTCTTAAATGGGGCTTAAACAACCAAGAGAGGACCAAGAAAGCGACCATTGCACTTTACTCTTGTAAAAAAGCAATCGGGCTAAGATGGGGTATGTCCCCTAAAAACGTCAATTGGATATACACAGCGGTAGTCAAGCCAATCCTACTATATGGAGTGGCTCTGTGGTGGACCGCTTTACACAAACAATGTATCTTAACTCCCCTTAACAAAGTACAGCGCATGGCGACCTTGTGTACTAGTGGAACCCTTCGAACTACCCCAAACGAAGCGCTGAATGCGATCTTGAACCTCCAGAGCCTGGACTTAGCAGGCATGGAACGGGCGAAATCGGCAGCCATTCGACTAAGGGATACGGGGCAATGGAAAGCCCAACTGTATGGTCACGCTAAGATTCTTCAGCATGACAAATTGATCCCGCCAAAAACGGATCTATGTAAAACCCGTGAATACAGTCACACGCCCTTCGAAGCTCTGATCCCAGGCAGGGAAGTATGGGATCGGGGCCGACCGGGCTCTATAGACGCAATCTGTTTATATACAGGCTCCAAACTAGAAGGACACGTAGGTGGAGGCATATACTCCGAGCAATTAGAGATCAGGCAGTCATTCAGACTTCCTGACCACTGCAGTGTCTTCCAAGCGAAAGTGTATGCTATAATGGAAGCACTCGTCTGTTTAAGGGACTTAAACACCCAGAACAGACACATAAACATATATAGTGATAGCCAAGCGGCTATTAAATCAATCTACTCGACGAATACAAACTCCCGAACAATAGCAGACTGTCGCAAATCTCTCCACGAGATGGCTAGTCAGTTTACTGTCAGCCTAATATGGGTTCCGGGACACCGGGATATCGTAGGCAACTGTATAGCAGACGAGCTAGCCAGGCAAGGCACCACCATACCTCTCCTTCCAGGAAAGGAGAATGTTGGCATGCCTATGGCTACTTGCAAGCTAATTATTAAAAACCATTTCAACAAATTAGCCAACACTCATTGGCAAAACACACCGCAATGCCGAATCTCTCACCAGACATGGCCTGCAATAAACAATAAGAAAACATCAGAACTACTCAATTTCAGCCGCACTGAGAGCGGCATGCTAATTCGAGTACTCACAGGCCACTGGCTAAAAGCCCCAAAAAATAATTTTCGTAGAAGCTGCAGGGATGAGGAAGAAGAGGAAACGGTGGAACACCTACTCTGTTCATGCCCAGCCCTATGCAGGCTTAGACTGAAACACTTAGGATATCCTTTCATAAATGACCTGACCTGAAGCTCTTTTATTAAATCCTCCGGATGGGGGACTTGCTGATCGACCAACCTACAGGCTGACTCTTAACGGATAGGGGACCCAAAAATAAAGAGATCATACGGTATCAAAATGGACCCACAGAGGTCTAAATGTGCCAGGCTATAGTCTGGCAGCCGTCCTAACCTAACCTAACCTAACCCTACTTGTTTTAGGTAAAGCATTCAATTTAGCAAATTGCCTTTTGTATTAAGGCTAGAGTTATTAAACAAAAAGAGTCCTCATTTAAAGCTCTAATTTGATACGACTGACATCAGGCGTCCCCCAAGGGACTCACCTTACTCCACTTCTTTTTTAATTTTTTTTTTACGATCTCCCTTTAGTCTCGAAAAGTCACGTGTCCTGATGTACGCAGATGACGTTAAGTTATGCCTGACAAAATTTCCCGCTGTTCAGACTTACAACCAGCTATAAATGCTTTTTAAACGTGGTGTTGTGAAATTCAACAGAAAGTTGCCACGTATATGGTATATTGATGACCTTGGCGTCCTTCAGGACCCAAAACTCAAGTTGTCTGATATTACTTCCATGGTGAAAAAAGCCAGGTAAGTGCTCGGACTTTTCAAATGGTGGACAAAGGAATTCGATGATCGTATGTCACAAAGACTCTATTCATTCCACTAGTACGTCCAATTCAGGAGCACTGTTCACCTGTTTGGAGTTCCCAGCATGGTGTATATATAGACCGGATAGAGTCTGTGCAAATCAACTTTTTACTTTTTGATGCATGCCTAAAATTATTATAACTTTTAGAAGAAGTGTCTAAATAATTTATTTCTATCCAACTTAAACTTAAACTAAGCTTCGAGATACTGGGTCGCCTTACCTTCTCTGTGTTCAATAGAATTACCAGGAACTATAATCTTCTTACTTTAAAACTAGATGATCAAACTTCATTAACCTTTAATTAATTTACCGATTACTCAAAAAAAAACACTATAATGTTTTTCTTCAAAAAGCAGTCCGAAATTAGAGAAAATTGGTAGCAAAAGTGTACTTGGCTCAACCAAACTTTACGAAAGCTAAAGAGCTGCAAAAGATTCTCACGATCAACCATCGTGAATAAAACCAGTCAACAATTCAGAAACCTACCTTCTTAGTGTAAAAGGATAAATCACTGCTTTAAATATTTATTAATGTAAATCTCTTTATTAAACTTTTGTCAACTGTTCTTCTCAGACGCAAGCCACCAAATGCAGCGTCTTGATTTTTCCATATGCTTCCATTCCTTTACATGTGTGTGTGTCCTAGGTATGCAATTTATCCTTTAATGCTAAGTGTACGTGCTAGGAAGTGATGACAATATAATCTTTAAGTCTAACGCTGAATCGATCTTATTGTTATACAGAGGGCGTAATGCGTAATTATCTAAATGTATATGGTACAGTGGGCCTTATATGTATCTTTACCGCCACAACTCGGCTGTCCTGAGTGGATGATACCCTGATCACTGTTAACATTGATATGAAATTTAGATATACAATTTTTTAATTTGAAAAAACAATTTTTGTTTACCTCTTTCACAAAATCGTTCCTCATTATTTATATTATGCTAATTATTTATTTATTTTTTTTCGCTTTTTATTAACCAGAGCTTAATATTTTTAATGCTCCAGACACCTTGCTACGGATTATGGGACACCTGAAATCCTTTTACGTATTTAACAAAGAATCCATCGTTTCTAAATACTCTTGAAATTACGTAAGAACCCTTATTCTTCGGAATTCATATTTTAGAAACTCTCGCTGTGCTATCGAAACTCTTCACCATTACGTAGTCTCCTCTTTTGTATTCAGAAGGCTTTCTAGATTTCATGTCATAATGTACCTTGTTGAACGTTCGTGCTTTTTTTTTTTTTCAGCTTCATTTCTACTTTTTTTTCAAATCTCTATCTTCTGGCTTTTTTCCAATTCTTCTAACTTTTTTCATAAGTAAAAATGAATTTCTGCCTTGATGTGAACTTCGTTTCTCAGAGAACAAAATTATTACTTCTTATAATACAACTTCATATTAAACGATTGTGGCGCTTTCTTGTCGGTAAATGGGCAGGTGCTTCCGGGTCATCGGAATAGTGCATCTAAGTGTTCTTAGGTACAGAACTTCATCGGAATAACACAACTAAGTGTTCCAACATAGGTAAAAAACTTAAATTTTTACTTGCAAAATGACCCTTCTGGATTCTGCTTGGTGTCTTTTCGTGGTTTCACACGAAAAAAGTTATCTTAAAGATTTTTAGCCATGCTGACAATGATGGTTTTTTTTATGGTTCTCGCTGTAGCCACGTTGGACTACTTTTATTTGGGACTTACATTAATGACCTTAAGTAATACTCTCTTGCCGTGTTCTTGTGCATGCGAACGACGTAAAAATCTGATTTTCATAAACTCACATTGATTTCTACTGACTTACATAATATTAACTACTGTAGTATTCAAAACGAGTCTAAATGTGTCCTTATGTTTTTTTATGGGAAGGATCTTTTCCTCTATTTACTTAATTTTTTCTGATCATATTTGTAACAGTGTCGTCAGGGTTTCGACTGTATAGGCTCCTCTATGTATCGTTTACTCCCTCTCTTTAGGATTGGAGTCCCACTGTGCCTGTGTGATCTGGAAAATCACATTACCGATTGTGGTTGCAATACCTTTTATTGCTGACGTGTGTCGGACCGTCGACCCTAGCTTTGGATATCGCAGTGCATGCCTTGCCAAACAGAAGTGGAGAAAGAAAATTTGACCACCCCTAGTTTAAATAAACTGAAGTCCATCCAAATAGTAATATCTTTTGTATCGAATCTAGGTTATTAAAAATGTAAGCCACAGCTAGCATTACAGTATTCTGCATTTTTCAGGCTAACGAGCTTAACTTTCAGTAAACTAGAAAAGATCATAACGAATCTCTGGTTTCATATATTCTTGGAATGGCAAAACTTGCCCCTTTTTACTTGGCTATGCGTTGTTTTCGGTTGCCCCAAGCCAACGCGTCAGATTCGGCTTAGGGCTTTACAGATTTGCAAAACAAATTTTGAGGCGCAGGATCCTATCAGTGGTTTACTTACGCTGTATAATAAGTTATTAATCTCTAAGATAATTAAACCAGTTGTTTATTTGGGAATACATATTGCATTTTACATTTTACATATAAGGTTTATGTATCTAACTATTTGTATATTTAGTTTGAGATAATACGTGGTCAATCCACTGTTCTATTACAGGCAAATTTTGTTCACTCCAATAAACTTCTTCTTTAATATTTCGAAGCGATCTCTCTATAAGGTGTTGGGCACTGCCAAACTCTCCGGTATGTTTATTGTAGAATGTTTTGGCCATCTCGTAACCTTCTTGAGTCGAAAACATTCCAGTCGCAGATGTTAGAAGCTTGCCCCAAAGATTTGTTTTGTTTTGAAACCTAGAATGAAAATAATTTTCTTATGTTAAAATTATTCTTTACAACATGCACAAAACGCATGTATAACTCAGCTAAGTTCGCTATGATTTTGATTTTAGTTTCATATAATACATATTATGGAGTGGTACATGTTTTTATACTAGGCAGGGCTAAAAATAAAAAATATTAATTCATACTGGTACGTGACTTGCATCTACATAAATATAATTTTTTGAAAAAGACATTTTGATTTTTTTAACACCGTCATATATTTCAATCCCAAAATATTAACATAAATTTTCATAAATGTGGAGTCCAGTCATATATTATTTTGGATATTAAGGGGCCAATAAAAGATGGAGTACATTTGTTATTAGTCTTATTATTATTAATGGTCTAAGGTTTAATGGTTTAAACCAAAATTTTAATTGGTTGAACTCTGAAAAATCATGCGTTTAAAGGTCAAAACCGCAGCTCATTTCTGAAACATAGAAGGAATCGCATAAAAGTTAGTTTACTTTTTTATTGCTTAAAGTTTATAAGATACAGCCAGTGCTGACATTGCTACGGTCGTTAATACATAGAAGTATGGAGCAAAGCATTTTTAAAATATTATGAACCAAATGCTACAGAGAGCCGGAGCAATATTGAAAACTATAATTTTTAAAAAACCACAGCATTCTATATATTGAAAACGGCTCTAATCTCGACTTCAGATCCATATATGATATGAGTAGTTACTTTGGCAACTATGGTAATTTTTCTTTTCCATTTTTACTTGTGAAGTGTTGTTGACATATAGCATAGCATAGTGTTTTGGCTATTCGGGCCTGGATCGCAATGCCATCGATAAGAAAAGTGGCTTACGATACTACTGCACTGAGTGTTTCGTATATGACCATCAGGCGACTCTCAAAAAGCAATTTTACGGAATTAATTCGCAATTCGTTTCACGGCTCTTTTACCACTAGATATTACCGCTTATATCCAAACAATTTAAAAATTCTTTTGCCAGGAAAGTATCAGCATTTAAGATAAGTATTCCTTCTGCGCATTTCACATGTTTGTCGTCCACCAGTTTCTGGCCGAAGGCATATTTGTAAAACAAATAATAATAAAGCTAAGAAAAATGTCCCATTGAAGGTATTGAACTCCACTTTAACCACACAATTTACAGGCGTAATCGTCAGTCCAGACGGGGAGGTGGCGTCTTGATTGCTGTTGACCCTAACCTCTTGACGGAAATACTAACTTTTGAATAATTTTATGACATCGAATTTCCGATTATAAAATTGTAGTTTCCCGTTAGTTTTATATATAACATATTACTTGTTAAAATATTTCACCATCATCTGAGTTCCAATTTATCCGAATCACCTGTCCGTTATCCTCAGACGAAAACTTGAGTATATCCAAAGGGATATCATCCATCTTTAAAACATACTGTTAAAGGAGAAACAGGTTAAATAAAAAATTAGAACATTTTTAAAACAGTTTTATAATTTTCTCAACACTAAGCTTATATTCACCTCTTACCCTGCATGGCTTTTATTTGAAAATTCTGTTGCAAACAATGATCAACATATTCAGCTTCATTCAAATCAGTCTTATTTTTCTCCAAGTCAAACTTATTTTCTTGTCCTAGTTCAAGCAAAAGCTTCCTTCTTTTGGATCTTGAAAGGGTTAAATTAGTTTATTCACTGAGTCCTGTCGGAGTTCCAGGCTGCGTAATTAGATACTGCCTTGAAATCCTGTGTAGATCTCTACACAAATTGTTTACCTTATCTGTGAAAACTTTACTCTTCCTACTTTCTTGGAAGAAGTCATTTGTTATTACCCTTTATAAAAAGGAAAAAAAAGAGTACAAGCAATTGCAGAGGTATATCCAAGTTGTCCTCTATCGCAAGACTGTTTGAAAACAGTATTACACCTCACTTGCCACATCTTTGTAGATTAATTATATCTCCATGTCAACATGGATCGTCTTGGATTTAACGTCTTATGTAATAAATGACTTCAGAAATAACATTTAGAAAGGCGTAGGCTATACTTGTTTTAGGTAAAGCATTCAATTTAGCAAATTGCTTTTTGTATTAAGGCTAGAGTTATTAAACACAAAGAGTCCTCATTTAAAGCTCTATCTCTAATTTGATACAAGTGACATCAGGCGTCCCCCATGGGACTCACCTTACTCCACTTCTTTTTATACCCTTGCAGAGGGTATTATAATTTTGGTCAGAAGTTTGTAACGCAGTGAAGGAGACGTTTCCGACCCCATAAAGTATATATATTCTTGATCAGGATCAATAGGGGAGTCGATATAGCCATGTCCGTCTGTCCGTCTGTTTCAATACCGTTTGCGAGCTCAGTTTAAAAGCTAGCGATCTGAAACTTTCACAATCGTCCTAAAACATGTGTATGCAGATCAAGTTTGAAAATCGCCCCGATCGGACGTCTATATCCTATAGCTCCCATAGGAACAATTGGATATATCTTGCAAGAATTTATGATATTTCGCGCAGTGTAAAAGCTATTGACATTTATCTTTACAAATCGTATTTTTTTATGCATACCTTGATCAGGGTAAAAGCGCGTGGCGATCGGACGTCTATATCCTATAGCTCCCATAGGAACAATAGGGAAAAATCGGTTAAAATTTAATGATTTTTAGGATATTTCGCGCAGTGTAAAAGCTATTGACATAAATCTTTCCAAATCTTATTTTTTTATGCGTACCTTGATCAGGGTAAAAGCGCGTGACGATCGGACGTCTATATCCTATAGCTCCCATAGGAACAATAGGGTAAAATCGGTCCAAATTTGATGTTTTTCAGAATATTTCGCGATGTGTAAAAGCTATTGCTGTACATTTTTTCAAATCGTATTTTTTTATGCATTCCTTTATCAAGGTAAAAGCGCGTGCTGATCGGACGTCTATATCCTATAGCTCCCATAGGAACAATACGGTGAAATCGGTCAAATTTTCATGTTTTTTAGAATATTTCGCGCAGTGTATAAGCTATTGACATACATTTTTCCAAGTCTTATTTATTTACGCATATCTGGATTAGGGTAAAAGCGCTTGCCGATCGGACGTCTATTTCTTATAGCTTCCGTAGGAAAAATAGTTAAAGGCTGCGAAAGTATCCCTTTTTTTCTATTTTTATATGACATTTTTGCAGTATAAAAGCAATTGACATTAAACGATGCAAATCTAGTTTATTTATGTATACCTTATTCCTTTCGCTACTTTTTCAGTTTTAGCAATTTCGGAAAAGTCTGCAAGGGTATTAAAACTTCGGCTTGCCGAAGTTAGCTTCCGTCCTCGTTTAATTTTATCTCCCTTTAGTCTCGAAAAGTCACGTGTCCTGATGTACGCAGATGCTTTTTAAACGTGGTGTTGTGACATTCAACACAAAGTTGCCACGTATATGGTATGTTGGCGTCCTTCAGGACCCAAAACTTAAGTTGTCTGATATTACTTCCATGGTGAAAAAAGCCAGGTAAGTGCTCGGACTTTTTAAATGGTGGACAAAGGAATTCGATGATCATATGTCACAAAGACTCTATTTATTCCACTAGTACGTCCAATTCAGGTGCTCTGTTCACCTGTTTGGAGTTCCCAGCATGGTGTATATATAGACCGGATAGAGTCTGTGCAAAATAACTTTTTACTTTTTGATGCAAGCCTACAATTATCATAACTTTTAGAAGAAGTGTCTAAATAATTTATTTCTATCCAACTTAAACTTAAATTAAGCTTCGAGATACTGGATCGCCTTACCTTCTCTGTGTTCAATAGAATTACCAGGAACTATAATCCTCTTACTTTAAAACTAGATGATCAAACTTCATAAACCTTTCAGAGTATTATATTATATATTATTATTATTTTTACTATCAAATCAAGAATCATTTTTATTTTATTAGGCAACAAATTATTAGTCTGTCCTTTTCGCTATAGCCCTTTTTCCCCTCTCGCGTTCTCGTTTTTACGCCCCATTGGGCGTAAGGGCCACTTCTTTGTGCCGATGCATCAACTCCCGACTGACTGACTGATTGACTGACTGACTGACTGACTGACTTGTATCGATATTAGGGGAAAGAGGATGACTTAGCTTCAGATTCGATGCCACTGAATAATGCTCTTGATAGGACAAAAGATGTCATAATCAGCCATCTTCACCATCATCCGCAAATCAAGAACTTCACTAAGTAACATTTAATTAATTTACCGATTACTCAAAAAAAAACACTATAATGTTTGTCTTCAAAAAACAGTCCGAAATTAGAGAAAATTGGTAGCATCGTGAATAAAACCAGTCAAAAATTCAGAAACCTACCTTCTTAGTGTAAAAGGATAAATCACTTCACTGCTTTAAATATTTATTAATGTAAATCTCTTTATTAATCTTTTGTCAACTGTTCTTCTCAGACGCAAGCCACCGAATGCCGCGTCTTGATTTTTCCATATGCTTTTCCTTTACATGTGTGTGTGCTAGGTATGCAATTTATCCTTTAATGCTAAGTGTACGTGCTAGAAAGTGATGACAATATAATCTTTAAGTCTAACGGTGAATCGATCTTATTGTTATACAGAGGGCTTAATGCGTAATTATTTAAATATCTATACCGCCACAACTCGGCTGTCCTGAGTGGATGATACCCTGATCACTGTTAACATTGATATGAAATTTAGATATACAATTTTTTAATTTGAAAAAATAATTTTTGTTTACTTATTTCACAAAATCGTTCCTCATTATTTATATTATGCTAATTATTTATTTATTTTTTCCGTTTTTTTTTAACCAGAGCTTAATATTTTTAATGCTCCAGGCACCTTGCTACTGGTTACGGGACACCTGAAATCCTTTTACGTATTTAACAAAGAATCCATCGTTTCTAAATACTCTTGAAATTACGTAAGGACCTTTATTCTTCGGAATTCATTTTTTAGAAACTCTCGCTCTGCTATCGAAACTCTTCACCATTACGTAGTCTCCTCTTTTGTATTCAGA